AATTTGAAGTCATTCCATCTTGATTTGATACGTTTCGGCGCAAAATATAGAAGTTGGAAGATTTAAAAACTCATAATTCGATTCGATGCGCGATTCGTAATTTCGGCATTTGTTTTACGTGGTTTGAAGCCTCGACTAAATCCGTATTGTATTTTGGAACATGTTGGTATATTTGGTTAAAGTACCGAGGGCATCGGGTGGATTCCGGATGGCTAACAGATCAATTTTGACTTGAAGAAAATTGCTGGAATTTTGGACTTGCTGGTGTGATCGCTTCTGCGGAAGCTTGATCGCAGAAGCGACCTCGCAGAAATGAGATGCTTCTCGCAGAAGCGACTGAAGAGGGGGAGCTGAGAAGGCCGCAGAAGCGACAACTCGTGCGCAGAAGCGCAAGCGCAAGAAGAACCGCAGAAGCGGCCAGTTGCGCAGAAGCAGGCAATGGCCTCGCATCTGCGATGCGCGCAGAAGCAGAAATGCTTCCGCAGATGCGAGGGTCGACTGGGCAGTGCACGTTCGTAGAAGCATGATTTTTCTCTCAAAAGCGAGCACGCAGAAGCGTAAAAGCACTCAACAGGTGCGAAACTCGGCAGAAACATAAGGATTGAACTTGGTCATTTTTTCATTTTTGTTTTGGAATTTTTGGAGCTCGAATTTGGGCGATTCTGGAGGTATGTTTCACAAGCTTGGTTGGAGTAAGTATTCTATATCCTAAAGTGATTATATTTCATGAATCTATGGTTATATTCATCGTTTGATTCGGATTTAAATGGAAGAAATCAAGATTTTTGCAAAATCTTCCAAAAACGAAAAATTTAAGATTTGGAGGTCGAGTTATTATCGGAATTTGATAGAATTGGTATGGTTGAACTCGTATCGGAATGTGTATTCGAATTTCATGAAAATTATGTCGGGTTCCGAGAGACGGGCCCCGCGTTGACTTTTGTTGACTTTTTAGAATAAATTTTTACGTCGACGTTTTATTATCCGGAATTATTTTCGATGAATTTTAATGAAGTTATACAATTAATTTGGATAGATTGAGCTGTCCGGAGGTCAATTCAATCAAGAAGGCGATTTTTGAATATCGGCATAACTTCCAAAAGGTAAGTATCTTGCCTAACCTTGATTGGAGGAATTGCCCCTTAGGCATCGAGTCTTATGTGCCATTTGTGAAATGTGAAAAGCCATGTACCGAGGTGACGAGTACGTACTCGGACTTATATGTGCCAAATATATTGGGTTAAAGTCTTAGGCATATTGTGTAGTAAATTGAATAATTGTTGGCACTTATTTAATCATCTATTTGACATGCCTTAATTCGAGTTTGTTGAATTTGTTTTTATATGACAATTTGATGTGATTATTAATTGTATATTTATGTGGATTTCGTGAATTTGGTGATTTTATTTCTTGGAATTAAATTTCATTATGGATTTTCCATCTATAAATAATTAATTAAATGAGCTTAAGGAGATGTGTTTATATAATTATTAAGAATTTGGATTAATGAAAGTGTTGCTCTATGCTGAGTAATTTTTATCTCTGTTGATTTTTTTTTTGAGGTTTTATACACATTATGTGGAGCCTTCATCTATTTGTTGTGGAATTAATTAATTTGTTACATCTTTGGAATTGGTTGTGGCCATTAAAAAAATTGTGATATGAATTGATTTTGTTATGTAGTCGTGATAATATTCCATGTAATTTTCTGTTGTGTTATTTGAGTTATTATTATTTTGAAGATATAAGGGCGGCATTCCACTGTTGATATTATGTGGGTATAAGGGTGACATTTCATTGTTGTTATGTGTATTGGAATATTGTCTGGACGGAGTGATAATGGTGGCTATAGGAGAGATAAGGGTCGCTATAAGAGAGATAAGGGTGGCAATAGGAGTGATAAGGGTGACTATTGATATTGTCAGGGCGGAGGGATAATGGAGGCTAATAGGAGTGATAAGGGTGGCTATTGTCAGGATGATATGTGATGATGTGGAGTTGTTGCGTTGATGATTTTTATGTGATGTTGTGATTTTTCTTGTGTTTATTTTTATACCTTGTGCAATTTGTCTTGTTGTTGGTAAATTAATAATAGTCTGATTTATGTTGAAATTGGGAGCCTGTGGCTATTGTCAGGCAGATTATGAAAAGAAATGTGGGCACGAGGTGCCATGAGTAAATAATGATGATATTGGCACGTGAATTGTCCGTGCAGTTGTGATATGAGATGTGGGCACGAGGTGCCATCATTAAATGATGATGATATTGGCACGTGAGTTGTACGTGCGATTGTGATAAAGAAATTGGCACGAGGTGCCGTGGAAATATGAAATTGGGCTAAGACCCGTACTTTATGATTTTGAAATGAGGTATCACATAGTGACTTTTATTCGAAAGATATTTATTTGACGGAATTATATTAGAAAGAGATTTATTTGAAAGAATTTTATTCGAAAGATATATATTTGAAGGAATTATATTTGAAAGATATTTATTGAAAGAATTATATTCGAAAGATATTTATTTGAAGGGAGTATATTCGAAATATATTTATTGAAAAGTATTATATCCTGAACAGTATTATTTGAGAAGCATATATGCGAAAGATTTATATTTAAAGGACTTGATTTAATTGGGTGTACTTGTATTTATTATTTGTTGAGCAATATTAATGGTGTTCTTGTTGCCATGCTGTGCATATCACTGGTTGATTTGTGTTGCCCTTATTGTTATTGGTTTCCTATTATTTTATATACTATATTGCACATGTTATTAGATTAGTGAGTGTCTTGACGGTACCTCGTTACTACTCCACTGAGGTTAGTCTTAATATTTACTGGGTACCGACTGTGGTGTACTCATATTACACTTCTTCACATTTTTGTGCAGAGCCAGGTATTGGAGATATAGGACTCGGACAGAGTTAAAGCAGGATCGCAAAAATTCAAGGTAGAGCTGCTTGGTCATCGCAGTCCCTTGGAGTCTTTCTATTTTATTGTACTGTTAATTATTAATCAAACAATATTGAGTATTCGATCCTTGAGATTATTCCATGTATTCAGTTAGAGTTCGTGACTCAGTATTACCAGTCTTGGGAGGTTGTTTGTAATTATAAAAATAAATAAATTAAAATATAATTGTAATTGGTTTACCTAGTCTTAGAGACTAAGTGCCATTATGACACCTGTGGTGGGATTTTGGGTCGTGACAAGTTGGTATCAGAGCTCTAGGTTCATAGGTTCTACGAGTCACGAACGAGTCTAGTAAAGTCTTGCGGATCGGTACAGAGACGTTTGTACTTATCTTCGAAAGGCTACAAAACTGTTAGGAAATTTTTACTTCTTTCATTCCCGTCGTGCGAAATTTATTGAATTTAAAATTTGAGCCCTTGTATCTCTATTCTCTCACAGATGGTGAGGACACGTGCTACCGGGTCAACTGACCAGGCACCCACGCATTTTGCTTGGGCCGCAAGAGGCCGAGGAAGGGTACATGCCACGACTAGAGCACCTGTTAGAACAACAATTGATGAGCTGCCAGTAGCTCCAGTTAGGGGACAGGTACCAGAAGCACCTGTTGTTACCCCCGGACTTCAGGAGACTTTAGCACAGTTTCTGAGTATGTTTGGTACATTAACTCAGGCAGGATTGATCTCTATTGCACCAAATATTTCACAGATTGGGGGAGTAGCTCAGACTTCTACCACGACTCCAGATGAGCAGGTTCACATTGGTCAGGTTCCGGATATAGTACCGATACAAACTGTTATTCCGGTTAAGCCTGAGGTCAGGCCAGAGGCATCGGAAGAAGAATAAAAGAGACTTGAGAGATTTTAAAGGTACAGTCCACCTACTTTCAGTGGCACAACTTCAGAGGATGCCCAAGGATTTCTAGAAAAATGTCACCGTATTCTCCGCACCATGAGTATTGTGGAAGTGAGCGGAGTAGCCTTTACTACATTTCAGCTGTCAGGCGCAACATATCAGTGGTGGCAAGTTTATGAAGAAAGTAGACCAGCCGATGCAACACCACCAACTTGGGCTCAATTTTCGGAAATGTGATTTAGTTAATGAGATCAACTAATCTTTATCCCATAAAGACAATCACATAAATATTGATCTAACCGGATTACTAATGTCCAAATTAATAATCCTACGATCAAGAACAAATTTAGATTAAATTATAAGAAACTTCACTCTCATTATCATGATCTCCATCACAATGTCAAGTCTCAAAATTTAATCAAGGACTTTATCAAATTAATCAAGCAATTAATAATAATAATAAAAGAATATCAAATGCCATATATATTTTATATCAAATAACGTCCACAAAAATATGTTCAAATCATCAAATATGAGACTTAATTTAGGGCATATCTACTATATCTCTAACAGTTACTCTCTTAGAAGTTATGAACATCCACCATAATCAAGTATTTCATAACAAAAAATAATATTTTACCTTTTATTTTGAAATTTTAGAAAGTAATGGAGTAGTAGGTACTTATTCATTTTGGAGTATAATAATGTCAACAAATAATACGACATTGGTTGTAAAAGACCAAGTATATAGTGAATAATCAACTGTCGAATCATGAAAAAAAATGTCGAGTTTCATGTATATCATCCTAAACCTTTGTCCAAAAAAATAATTTTAAACGCTATAATGATAACAAGGAATAAGGTGAAGAATGAAAGAGAAAATGACCTTTTTCTTGTTTCTTCACATTTTATTGTGCTATTTCATAATTTTCAATTTCATTTGTTCTATCATTGAGGTAATGGAGGAAAAACATTTGTACGTTAAATAATTACCAGTATATGTTTTAATATTTACATGGTAATCTTTTCTTAAAAATAGCTTTAAGCCGAATCGGGCCATTGGCCCCTCTTTGTGGGATACAGACCAAGTCCGTATTAAGTATTCGGACCATCCGAATTCGGGTATTAAACTCAATTGCCATTTAGATTTTGATCGAAATAGGTCTACTTAAATGGTGAGGCTATGCACCGGGGTTCGAATCCCCAAGCCGACGTGGAGGAACAATAAAAAGTTAAACACGCTTCACAGTTAATAAACGAAAGAGAAAAAATTCTGAATCGAGTATTTTGGTGTGGAGTCGAGCCAAGGAGAAGAGAAACAGATGAGGGAGGATAATGATATGACCGGAAAAGGTGACAGTTGCTGCATCGACGGCAACAGCAAAAGCGTAAATCCAATCAAAGAGGCCGGAGTAGGAACCGGAGGGACAGGCTCCGGCGAAGGTGAAGTAGAAGGCGTATCATCATCGAAGAATAAAGGAAAATCGTGCAAAGGATGTCTATATTACTCGTCTACTTTCAAATCCAATTCTCGCAATCCTCTCTGTCTCGGCCTTAGCCGTTCCCTTCCTCAAGGTTCCCCTTCTAACCCTTTTCGTTTTTCCTCTTTTTTTCTGCCCCTTTTTAAATGTGTTGTTACTTGCTTATTGTGCATTTCTTTTGCTAATTTTTATTGCTTGCAGTGATTCCTGTTTTCTGTTTTTCGTGGAATTATAAGTTTCATAATTCAGGACTCGTTACAATTTGCAGCTTAAAATAAAGAAATTTCTCATGTTACTTACAGGTGAAATATTAGTATATAATGTTCAATGGCTCAGTAGAAAATGTAAAGATTCTAGTTTTACAGAATCCCTATTTGGTCCCAAAAGGCATATTATCGAAGATTGGAAGCAGAATGAATAATGAGGATTCATATATCCAACACCATCTACTTTAGGATTAAGGCATAGTTCCAAATTGGTCTGAGGTCTCTCTCTATATCGTTAGTGATACATGTTACTTGTGCTGTAATACTCTAAAAAGTAAGCATTTTGGGCAGCTGAGTTAGTTCTGGTCTGGTGATTCCATGTTATGTGAACTATCCTTTTGAGGAAAAATCATTTCTGCAGGAAAACGGGAAGCTAGAATCTCTGACGTACTCAATTGTTGGTCACATAGACCTCTGCTACTGTATCTCATTATGCATTGAATGTTCGGCTTTGTTGTTATCATTTATAGCATATTGAAAATTAGACCCTGTATTGAATGTGTGCTGAGGCTGGTTTCTGATGTTTGATAACAAGTACCTCGATATATTGTTGGGGAATCTGAGATGGAAGCTTCTAAAGAGGGTCGGAGCCTTACGGATTTTAGATATGCTTGTGTCGGTTATTCTGTATACTTGGATCAGAAATCTAGATCAACTGATGCTCAAGACACACAAACAGAATTGCCAGTCTGTGTTGGACTTGAGGTTAGCATTCTACTTTAAATGCTCAAGTTTGCTTCATGCCTTGTTTCATGTTTTGATGTGTTCTCGGGCATACATGGAGAGAAGGCAAATTAATTTCTGTAGGAGGTGTCATGCTTTGACATATTAGTTTTTACTTTCCTCTTTGTTCTTACCAGTATTGTGCAATTTAATCCTTTGATAGAGTTATAGGAAGATATAGCCACTAATAACTTCATGTTTTTTGTATTATTTCTGTTTACTCAAAAGAATGTTGCTCAACTAACTTAGATAGCATGGCGTAGGTTTTGGTGGATAAAAGACCCACTTCAGCTGATGCAGCTCCTGCTCCTGCTCGTGCCCAAAAGAAAGAAGGTGATTGCCATGACTTCATTTCTTCCCTGCCAAAAAATGTGTCTGATGTAATGCTATTGGTATAGTGTGTTACTGCTTCATGTGGATGTCTAAATTTGGTTCGAACATTTTTGTACATAGGGATGTGTTCTTGTTCCAGTTTCCCGAACATTATCATTTTCCAGTAACATTTTTTTCATAATTAATTACATGCTTGGTGAAAGTTTATTTTTTGCTTTACCTACTGCATTCCTTTATTTTTCTCGAAGTAAAAAATTCAGAAATATTCTTTATCGACAAATCCTCGTTGAAAACTTAAAATTACTTTTCTATTTGTTGCTGAAGAACTGTTTATCCTTGTTCATTTAAAGTCTAATGACTGTTTTAAGCTTGGAAGCGACATTATAAATAAAATAGGGTTAATTTCAAAGACCTCCCTTCAGGTTTTGCCTCATCACACTAATCTCTCTTGTGGTTTGTGATATTACGTTTACCTGCCTTATTTTGATCCTTTTGTAACAATTATTTTTGATCTATTTTTCATAAATAGGAAAAAATAGGCTCTGACTGATATGCCTTTTTTCCTAACTTTTGCTCTTTTGATTAATTTATTTCAATGAATATCTTCTTCAATTAATTCCTTTAGAACAGAAAAAGTTACGCTAGGAGTGACTGCGTGAGTGCGCTTCAGCTGTTTTATATGTCTTCTCATCATCTTCTATGTAAAAGCAATTAATCTTCCTATGAAGACACTTGGCGATGCTGTGTGCACAATCTCGTCGTTTATGTTCCTCTATGAGGTCACGAATGTTTGAAAAGTTAAAGTTTTTCTTTTTCCTTATTTTAATTACTACTTTCTTTTTTCCTTCTCATGTTTGGTAACTGAAACTCTACTATCTGGTGATGTTTGGCAATTGAAATTTCTACTATTTGGTATTAAAGACATCTAACTATTGTTCCTTCTATCAGAGTGTTTTTATATCTGTCATTTCCATTTAATAATTCGAATATGAAGTGCAGTGACCATACAGAAGTGGTGAAATTAGAGCTCGCAAGAGGAATTACTTCTTTTCCTTTACCTTTTTTATTCATAGTAGTGGAAGTCATCTCAAAGATTATGTGAAAGCTCTGTTGTTGAAGAAGATGTTCATTAAAATAAATTCAAAAGAGCAAAATGTTAGGAAGAAAGGCAAATCACTTAGATGATATTTTTTTTTCCTGTTAATGAAAATAAATTAATATAATTGTTACAAAAATCAAAATAAGGGAGGTAAGCGTAATATCTCAAACCACAAGGGAGGTTAGTGTGATGAGGCAAAACCAGGAGGGAGGTCTTTGAAATTTTCCCAATAAAATATAATGGGCATCCGGCAAGATCAAGGTTATCGAATTCAACGTTTTACATCCAGAATGGAATGGCTGGTTTGACCTTTTGAAGTTGTCCGCATAGCTCTTTTCAATCAGGACAAAGAAAAATACTACCAATGCAAAAACAATTGTGCTTTTGAAGAGATTATAAATCCAGCAGTAACTTTAGCCACTTGGGACCGGGATCTATCCAGTACTCATATTTTGTTTTCCAGCTTTTCAACCTTCAACAAACGATCTCTCAGGATTTTAAGATGTCCTTTATCTGTAGAAATCAGAAGTTTGAATGCTGATTTTTTATCATGCTGATAGAAAACTTATATCTGCATACTATACTCTTATGAGTACCTCAAACATCTCCTCACACCATTACTTGTTGGTCATTAAACTAATGTCTGAGGTTTTATCTGTGACATGTATTTTTTAGCTCATCTGTATCTTTTATGAGTCAAGCGAGAGTTTCTAGGAGAAGGTGGCGCACAAGTTCCTAGTTCGGATTCAAACATATCTTTTCTGGCTTCTTTGTGTACTATTTCATGTGTTACTGTTGTTGCCTCTTCCGCGCATAATGTATAGGATCTTTAGCAGATGACAACCTCTAAATGTGGCATATTATTGAGTAGTTGATGATAATTTGATATGCAATGCAATTCAGCATCTTGTTCTGTAAAGTTCGTTACCCCTTGCAGTAGTATTTGGAATATTACATTTTTTGTGTTTTGGTTTGATCATTGGCAACCTAATTTGGTTCTTGTGTTTTCTTTTAACTTTTTTATTTGTAAAAGATGGACATGGAGTTCCACAACCTCGATCACATAAACCAACTCATGCAGCTGGTGATGAGTTCCTTACCAGGCAAGCAGTGTTTGAATATTGATACATGATGTCTGCTTCAAGTGAGGCACTATAGAGTTGTTTGATGATGTTTGTTCCCTTGAAAATACAGGTTTACCAGGAACGCTAACTTGGTTGCAATGGGAGTAGCCAAGAACTTGCGGAAAGTGGGAAACCGTATAAAAGAAAGTGTTGATGACATCTTCTATCGGCGGCCAAAGTAGGATTATTCTAATCCTGAAATAGAAGAAATGGATTGAAGAGCATTGAGCTGAAAACTGCTCCACCAAATAATGTTTACCGTTTGCTTCATTCGCCTTGGAATAGGGGAAACTTGTAATATGTCTTATGAGATTTATTTTGGTGTTTCTACTATTGATTTTTCATTTAAGGAATGCTCTTATTCCAACAATATCAAAGTAAGAATCTTTTATTTCTAGTTACTATAATTGTTACTACTAATAATTCCTTAGATTTTACTTAAAAATATAAAGCAGGACAAACGTCACGTAAAAGTAACCTGCATTCCTTAAATGAAGGACGCCAGGTTCTTGCCCCGTGGTTGTGGCTAAGTAACTTCTTTTTTCTTTCATTTTTTATTTTCGGTCAAGATAACTTCCGCTCTTTTTTTCTTAGCTCGATCATATTCTATTTCATATTCCAATTTTACTGGTTATAAAATCCAAAAAGTGAATGTAATATTATCCTATCTTTTGTGTGTTTGGTGTGATGGAAAATATTTTTTGAAAATAAGTGAAGTTTTTAGCGTTTAGTTGCTAGAAATGATTTTTTATCATTTAGTATTCAATAAAACTATGTGATTAACTAACATTACTACTATCAATCTTCAAGAGATATATTTTTTACTCTTTAACCAAACTCAAAAAAGACATTTTCAGGAAAATATTTTCTAAAAAGCTCCTTTCTTTTTTGCAAACCTTTTACAAGGATCCAAATTATATGACGCGCATATATTGCTTGCAATTGCTGGCGGTATTTCTCTTTCGGGAATACTCCCTGAAAATGGAAGCTGAAAGGAGGAGCAAACTAAGGTTCAAACATTATTAAAAACAATAACCAAATAAAGAAATCCTGAACTATTTCATTATCCCCAAGAAAAACGTGTTCCGTCATAAGAATACCATTCACTTCTACTTTTTGATTCACAAATTCAACTGTATACTCAACAACGATCGGAACCACGAAGACGATTGCTTCGCATGAATTCAAATGGCCGCATATGCGGCATGTAAACGGGTCGGATATTTTGGACCTAAACTCGGAGCTATTTCCGGACGCAACCGATTCCACGGCACACTCATTTCGAACCCTTCTTTCAACGGCAAGCGCTTGTTCCTCGTCGACACTCTAGCTCTTGTAATAAGTATTTCTTTTCTTTTCTTTCTTTTTGTTGGCTTTTCATTTTTTATGCTGCTTCTATTACAAATTGAAATTGAATGATGAGTAGTATTTGATTTTTCATTTTTTCAATTGGCCTAAGAATGAATTACTACTGTTTTTTCTTTTGTTAGGTGAGAAGACTGGAAGCACAAGGGGTGCCTACGAAGCAAGCCGAGGCTATTACTGCTGCCATTACTGAGGTTTTGAATGACAGCTTGGAAAATGTTGCTCAGACTTTTGTTTCTAAAGAAGAGTTGCAGACAGTACGTATATTTTTTTAAAAAAATTTATACATGTAATTTTGAATTAATTCACCTTAAAATTTATACTAACGTGATATTATTTTCATCTATATAGCTTGAGATGATTCAAGAATCCAAGTTGTCCAAATTTAAGTCCGAAGTTCAAAGCTCTCAGGTATCAGTTCTTCACTGTGAAATTTGTGGATTCACATTTTGATGCACTGAGTATGGCTAATTTAGTTTTGCATTGATTGGTCTTAAAGAATTTTCATGCTTTTTTAATAAAAAAGATGCTGTTGGTGGAAATTTTTCTGCTTTGTCATTGTGTATTTTGGTAAAGGTTGGGATTTGGAGTGGTATTATGCTGAATGAGTTGGTCATCCATTATGCATATGGCCTTTGGGAATTATCAAGGCCTTTATTGAAGGAAAATGCTCTCTTCCAGAAATGGAGTGATCTTACGGGAGAACTCTTCACACCAGGAAGATATTATAAAGGGCTTTCTTTTTCTAGATATCAGCCATGACCAACCATTGCATGAACTGCTAAGTGCTAAGGACCCATTGATCCAATAGTCTCACATTGATTCCTTCATATGTTTCGATTGGGCAAATATGCCAATAATGATTTGGATGGTTTTCTCCTAGCTCAAAACTTGCATTTTTGCCCTGTTAGTCCTCCAACGCCGAACTAACTTAATTTTTCTCCTAAGAACTAGTCGTGTACTGTCCGCCTATTGCTACTGCCCCCTCTTTTTTTTTTTTTTTTTATCTTTTCTTGAGCCAAGAGTCTATCGGAAACAACTTCTCTACCTGCTCAGGATAGGGGTAAGGTCTGCGTACACACTACCCTCCCCAAATTCCACTTGTGGGATTACACTGGGTTTGTTATTGTTATTGTTGTTGAACTAGTTATGTACTGTCAAATAAAAGCCTGGTATTTAAAGGAGGAGGGTAGAGGGGCGGGCTCATTGTTCACTGAGTTTCAAACTGTGCATTGGCCCTTTGGGATTTCTTGGTTATTAAAAAAGAATCATTCCGCCGGTGCATTAGAGACGTGTAACATGTGTGACCGTTTTATCAAAATTGCGTGTCCATTATCCTGTTGGTTCTTAAATATACTCACATCCGCCCACATACTACTGGACCTTTCCCTTAAGGAAGTTGGTTAATAGATGATCAGAAAAAATACAGTTATCTGCATATTGATACTTGAGATATCAGTCTGTTCTATAATGAGCCAATCTCAGGTGTTTAATTTTTTTGTATGATCTCAGTTGTTTAGTTGGTATGCTGATTGTATTATTTAAAATGTTTAGTGAAGAATATACTTAGTAGTAAAGAGCGATTATTTATACGTACATCACGCTGCTTCTGGGTTTAGTGTCCGACTTGATGTTGCAAAAGCTCGGCTACATCTCGATCTGAGTATAGTAACATGAATTTAATCTCTTAAAATGAATCACCACATAGAATAGCCAGTGAACCTGTAAATAGTGAGTTTTAGATTAATAGCCGCTTTAGTTAGTATCATTCATGATTGCGCGTCAGTGTGAATTCTCTTTTCCCAAATAATCTGCTTTACATTAGCATTTGACTATTGTTTGAAATAACTATTTGAACTTGTATGTCAAATATTTGCACTAGTCAAATGAAAAAATGTGAACTGCATAGTGCAAAGGGATCTGCTAGAAAGTTCTTTTTTCTCCATACCTTGAAACTTGATTTGGCAGATGTATGAAGAGGTGATGAAGATGGTAATGTATGTGGCAATGTAAGGATTTGGTGCAAGGTCTGAGTACGTTGAGTAGGTGTAAGTTGATTAACACTGTTTGTACGACAGGAGGTGAGGTTCTGGGGAGGTGTGGGGGCTTAATAGATGGTAGATATTGACGATAAGGAGGAGCCTTAGATGTGGCACAAGTGAAATTTCAGAGATGACATGCTGCTTTGAGAATATGCGAAGAAAGGACGAGTTAAAAACTAAGTGACATCTGCAGATAGATATTCTAATTAGAATCGGGCGAATAGCCGTGATATCCCTCCTGACCTCAAGAATATCCTAGAACTAATTTAAATTATACACTTAGAAGCACAATGTGTTAATTTCTCTTTCCCAAGGGTCCATGTTATGGAGAAAATGCTCTCTTCCAAATACACTAGTTGGTCGTGCATATAAAGTGTTGTAAAAAAAACTGGAATAAGGAATCTGATCTATAGTGTAATGAATGCATTTAATTTATGAGGTAGCAATATGTAAGAACATTAGCTAAAAACAGAATGGAAAATTAGAATGTACAAGCAGGCTGCATGTTGTTTCAATCGAGTGTTTATTTTCTTTCAGCTATCCTCTGTTGTCGGGAAGTGCATATTAACTCAAGACGTATGCACCACACTGTGCTAAAGGAGATCTAGTCCAATTATTACAATCATGTATGGAGACTGCACGAGTATCTGCAGCTTGGCTTGTACCTTGTAGTGGAAGTTCTGTAGAGGTTGAGGTAGTAAGCTCTCATGACTCATGATTTGTTCTGAACTTCGGTCTTGCATTAAAAAAAGTGCTCAAGAAGTTACTTAGTAGTTAACTGTGCTAGTCAAGCGACTGGCTGAAAGGAGATTAAAAGGATGATTAGGAATGTAAAGGTAGACTTTAAAGTCAAAAAGGAAAAGATGATTAGCTCGTTTTTGTTGAATTGCCATTTGAGAACCATTAGCTACTTTAATGGCTAAAGTTGACGACAAAGAATAGCAAAGAAAATGTCCGATCACCAAGGAAGAATGACTATGAAACATATGCAATAGAATTTCCTGACATGGGGGGGCTATTTGAGGAGACAACTGGTGAAATGTTTGGGACTGGAGAAACTCATTACAGTTTGCTTCAGGTAGGGGAATAATGTTCTGCATATGTTGTCTATGGATTCTTCGTGTGAAGCATTCTGGTAGCCGCAACATGCAGGGAGTAGCGTTTCTCTCGAGTGTAACCAGTCTCGTGACAGTAATTACATTGAGGGCATGGCGAGGTGGTTTGGTGGAACATCTTCTATTTTGATTCTACACCGTTTATGTGGTCAAAGTAGCAGTCTGTTGTTTGAGAAGACATGACTGGATCAGGGGGTACGGCGAGACATTGTAATTGAGTTAACTAGTCATCAATAGTTGGAATGGAAGAGCAGGCTAGATATGGTTGCTGAGTGAGTCGCGTTTTGATTGGTGAGGCGATATGCGATCCGGTGCTTGATTAAAAAAGGAGATGAGATCATGTGAGTTTATGTATTGAACTTTACATAGATATGTACAAAGGTGTATTACTAATACGAGGGTAGTGCAAATTTGTAAACCTCTAATTCTATATGTCTATTACATTTGGATAATTTCTTTTTTCATTAATGATGATTCATGGGTGTCCAAACTTGTAAAATGATTCATGCTTTATTAATTCGGCGATCCAGGAGAACCACTTTTCTCTACTGCAACATGAAACTGAAAAACTCAAAAGTGACATAGAAAAGATGCGCAGTGAATTGAGGTTGGCCTTCACAAACTATATTTTCTTATTATCATTTTCATATTACAGTGTGCTTGTTTTGAAATTTGTAATTTTTTCCTCTGGTTTTCGTTTTGGGTTATTACAGGTATGAAATTGATAAAGTCACTGCTGGCCATAGGTTGGATCTCAATCTTGAAAGGGGGTAAGGAGCTACTGTCACTATTTTATTTTGTGCATTATCTTCAGTATCTTTGTAGGTTACGTAACCAGTCACATAATCATTAGTAATATGTTTGTAGATAAACTGTTAGTCAGCTGTTTACGGCTAGAGTCTAATGTTGTGCTTCATTTGCAGGAGAATCCGGGATGAACTAGCAAATCAGAATCAAGAAACCACTAACCTCACTAACAAACTTGACCGAGTAAGTGTAATACGCAACTATAAATTGACATTTGATACCTGTAATTAGAACTAATCCATTCTGCCTCTTTATGTAATTATGTTATCCCAGGAAATTCATGGATTAAGGGCTCAGTTGGAAGCTGCAAAATATGATGTTATAAAATATTGTATAGGTACCCTTGTCTCTATATCTGCTGTTGGGTTGGCCGTAGTCCGTATTTTGAAGTAAGTGGCTGAAGTACAATGCTAATTATTGATTAAAAAAATATTGTTTTTCAACATCCTTGCTGCTCAATGGATAAAGCAGAGTTGTTTGACGCCTAAATCCCAATCGCATTAGCAGACATTATAATTACTGGTCTAAGGGTACGCGCTTTGCGCGTGTACCCTATATCAATGAATATATAATTTAAAAGATTACAAAAAAATATTAAATAATGTGAGTTAAAGAATAAAATAAAATAACAAGTATAAGTTCTTAAATATGATGAACATTGATCGCTTTTAGCTAGTTAGCTCGATAAATAAATAATAATATAAAATTTTAAAAAATACTCTAATATTAGAGTTAATAGTTTATAAAAAATAACGTAAATATAGGAAGCTAGGAAGCTGTCATTTATTAGAATGGTTATAAAAAGAGATAAAAATAATAATGATTATTATTTTTAATACCTTTTGTCTTATGTTGTTACAATTTATTGCTTTATGTTTGCATTTTTAGCACATTGACCTTTAATTCTATATTGTAACTAATTTTGCTCTATTATCTTATTTCTTTTACTACCAATACTCTTTTTATAAAAGCATAGTTATGTACCTTAAAAAGTTTATCAACTCGAAAAATAATTTTAGTTACATGATGATTTTGAAAAATAAATTAAATTTAAGTCTTTTACTAATTAGTTAATTCAGAAATTTAATTATTTTGTCTTAACATGAAAACATATTTTTTCGCATTGGGGCTTCATGCCTTTATAATAATATAAAAAAATTAAACAATTCTAAACTCCTTTCCTACTCGAATAATATTATTTTCTTCATCAAGTTTTTGTGAAATATTTAAAAACTACATTCAATAAATGATTATGTACTTTATATCAATGACTATACAATTTTAAGAATAACACAAATTTTGTTAAACTATATAATTGAGTTATAAAATAAATTTTAACAATCACAAATTCTTGAAAATAACTAATATTGATCATATTAGATGTTAACTTAATAAAGAAAAAAATAATTTCACACAAAATTATTCTAAAACATTATCATAACTTTAATATATGAGTTCTGCATTGGTTTCGTAGCTTAAACAGAGTTGAATATACAATATGTTAGACTTGTATTTAAATATCATGCAATAAAATTATATTTCTTGTTGCCTTAAAATATATATTATATTTTCTTAAGTACCTAATATGAACTCCATCTTATATGAAAAACATAAAAAGACATAGTACGTAGGTTTAGTTATCATACGGAAATTTTAATCGAATGGTAATATAAAATAAATGTCACAAAAATTAAGGTAGAAAATTAATGCTTATTATTATTTTTCTATAATAATTCAAATTTTAATTGATAAAATTAATTTTTTAAACCCTTGAATTATAGTAAAAGAGAAACGATAACTGAAATAATGGTAATATCACAATGGAAGGATATCACAATGGAAGTTTAGCTTTGCTTTGAATGGCAAATACTCACGCTATGTCACGACCCAAAATCTAACCATGGTCGTGATGGCGCCTATCGTGTTACAAGGCAAGCCTATTTCCCAAAATATTACTACTAAATCGATTATAAGAATTTAATAAAATATTTTCAACATTTGAATTTTTCATAAACTAAATCAACTCTAAATATAATTATAGAAAATACGGAAACGAGTCCCAAACATCGGGGTGTCACTAAGTCATGAGCGTCTAAATCTCTGAACTAAGAAATAAAACTGTCTAACTGTCAATACAGTCCAAAAGAAGAAATGATAAAATGAGTAACAAGGTCCTGCGGACGCTAGCAGCTACCTTGCAGTCTCCAACGATAGCCAGCCTGAACTCAACGATCGCCGCGCTCTAACTCACCTGTATCTGCACATAAAGTGCAGGGTGTAGTATGAGTACAACCGACTCAGTAGTAACATAAATAACTAAGGAACTGAGTAGTAGTGACGAACTAAGTAGAACAATTCAATTATTTCTTTATCACAATTTAAAATAAACAGGAATAAACATGTAAATTCCATCAACTCAATAAATGCTACAAAGAAATTAACGGGTAAAATGCAGCAACACAAAAAGCAATGAATCCTTATAGCAATGTCACTCCATCACTCAGCACTCGGCTCTCGGCATTCGCACTCAGCACTCAACACTCAACACTCAATAGGTACCTGCACTCACTGGGGGTGTGTACAGATTTCGGAGGGGCTCTCAAAACCCAAGCGCTAAGCACGGACAACTCACGTGCTGCACGGACAACTCACGTGCTGCACGGACATCTCACGTGCCATAATATCAATCCCTGGATCCTCACGGTCAACTCACGTGCTACGCGGACAACTCACGCGCTATGATATCAATACCTGGATCCGCATGGACAACTCACGTGCCTCAATCAAATACTTTACAATAGGCCCTCGGCCTCACTAAGTCATGTACCTCTCTAGCCTCACCATCATCAACAAATAAGGAAAACACAACCCACGTCAAGTATCACAACATATAAGCAAAATAATAGGGACTGGGGTAAACATGTACAATAATATCTATGACTGAGTGCAAATAATCTGAGAATGAATAAAGCCTAAGCATGATCTCTAACATGAAGGCAAACAAGTTCAACAACAAATAAACACATAACCACAGATAATAGACATTAGGCCTACAGCTTCACGGGACAGACCAAGTCTCAATCCCTTGCGGTGCACACCCACACGCCCGTCACCTAGCGTGGGTATCACTTCCAAACAATCACGTGATGTCAAATCTCCGGGTTTATACCCTCAAAGCCAGAGTTAAAACTGTTACTTACCTTAACAGTGTAAAATTCTACTCCGGGATGCCCTTGTCTCTAGACTCGGTCTCCAAAAGCTCCAAATCTAACCAAAATCAGAATACTACTATCAACATAGGCTAAAGAATCAAATTTCACAAAACAACTACATAAATAGGCCAAAAATCCGAAATCGGCCAAAACCCAGCCCCCAGGCCCACATCTCGAAACCAGTCAAAAATGGCAGAATAATAATCCTCGTCCTCTCCCGAGTCTAACCATATAAAATTCATCAAATTCGGACTCCGTTTGGTCCCTCAAATCCTCACTTAAAACTCTCCAAAACTCAAATCCAAACTCCCTCAATTTCACCCTAAAACCCTACTAATTTCATGGCTAATTAGTGGAAAAACATCATAAACGCGTGTAAATAAACCCAAGTAACTTACCTCACTGATGTCTCGTGATTCTCCCTTAAAAAATACTGCCCCAAAGCTCAAAACCGTTCAACAATGGTGGAAAAAGGGCAAATATTCGTGAAGTGTGATATATATAGGATCTGCCCCAGGGATTCCGCACCTGCGGGCCCTCTTCTTCGCACCTGCGCGGCCGCACCCGCGGTCCCAGGTGCGCACCTGTGAAAGTCACTTAAACGCCAAGCTTCGTACCTGCGGCTACCCCTTCGCACCTTCAGCACCTGCGAAGCCTGCCCAGAGCCCTCCTTTCCGCATCTGCGCTCCAGGTCTCGCACCTGCGGGCTCGCAGATTAGATGCGACCTCCAACTCGCACCTGCGCATCTTGCGTAGCCCAGCACTGCTCGCTCCTGCGGACTCCCCTTGTGCACCAGCGACCTCGCACCTGCGACTCCTTCTTCCGCAGTGCGGAAATAGCAGAACAGCAGCATCAACTGCATTTTCCAAACTCCAAACTTCCCGTTAGCCATCCGAATTCATCCCGAGCCCCTCGGGACCTCAACCAATAATTTCAATAAGTCATATATCACTACCCGAACTTAGTCGAACCTTCGGAACACCCAAAACAATACCAAAATACCAAATCAACCTCGGATTCAAGCCTAAGAACTTCTAAACTTCCAAAATTCGCCAACGACGCCGAAACCTATCAACCACGCCGGAATGACCTCAAATTTTGAACACACATCACAAATGACACTACAAACCTACTTCAACTTCCGAAATTCCATTCCGACCCCGATACCTAATTTTTCTACTGCTGACCAAAATCGCCAAATTTCTAACTTTTGCCAATTCAAGTCTAATTCTACCACAGACCTCCAAATTACATTCAGGACACACTCCTAAGTCTAAAATCACTCAACGAAGCTAACCGAATCATAAAATTCCACATCCGAATTCGTTTACTCATAAGTCAACTTTCGGTTGACTTTTCTAACTTAACTTTCTAACTAAGAGACTAAGTGTCTCATTTCACTCCAAAACTACTCCGAACTCAAACCTACTAACTCGATACAACTCAACACAGCTGAACAACATATAAATAAGCAGAAATGGGGAAAACGGGGCTACAACTCTAGGAACGACCGACCGGGTCATTACATCCTCCCCCTCTTAAACAAACATTCGTCCTCGAACGAGTCTAACAGAAGAACATACCTGAAATCACAGCATCTGAAGCAATATCGTCTGACCTGGATGGGAGGGCATAAAAACGGGCCTGACCACCCCCTGATCTGCCTCCCCCTCTCGGGCGACCCATAGCTGACTGGGCTCCGCCCCTAGCTGGCTGAACTCTACCCCTAGCTGGCTGGGCGGGTGGTGGAGGAACTGGTGCTGGTGCCGTCGGCCGAGTACTCCGTTGTGGAGTCCCACCCAACAGCCTAGGGCAATATCTCGCAATGTGACCAAAATCCCTACACTTGAAACAACCCCTCCTCTGACGAAACTGATGCTCCTGATGCCCAAACGAATTACCAGATGATACCTGAGTGGGCGGGGCATAATGAGAACCCTGCGCTGGCAATGCACTGAATGATGACTGACTCTGCTGAAA